TGGTCAGTAATTTCTGGGTCAGACACAGACAAGAAAAGGCGTCAGTTTGAAATGCCACTGGAAAACAACGGTCGGGAGGGGAAGTGGATGGGTCCAACAAATACCTATGTAAAAATAAAAATGCCTTCCTCAGCTTTAACTACAAATGTGCAGCAGTGGAAGAAGTACTCAGACCTTTTACTAAAGTAAAAGTATCACAGTGTAGAAATACTCTGTTCTGCACATAAAAGTACAAAAGTTTTAGCATCAAAATATACTTAAAATACAAAAAGTAAAATGACAAATTATGCAGTATGGCTCATATCAGAACAATATATATTATATTAAATTATAATTACTGATGCATTAATGTGTTCATCACTTTAATGTTGCAGCTGGTGAAGGTGGAGCTCATTTTTATTTCTTCATATTTTATATATACATTACTCTATATACAGTATTGCTGTAATTTTCCACATTCACTGTCCACCATTTTGGGTCTAAATTTTGAATGTAACAATCCAACAGTGCAGCGCATCACATTTTATTCCAGTCATTTTTCTCTACACCTGTCAGTGATGATGCAAAATCAAAATTCATAGGTGTCCGATATCTTGTGTACTATTGAGCGTATATCATAACACAAATAATTTATATAACACTTTTTAAAACAGGTGTTGCAAAGTGCTTCACAAGAATCATGTTAATCTTAAGAAGTCCTCCAGCTCCAATATTTTGTCTTTAACTTCCTGTCTACACAGGAAGTGAGAATATGACCAGTATCATAATGTAACATACAGCGAAGTGAAGGACTGACTTTTCCTCTACAACAGTCGGTAGACGTCGAGTAAACACTGACAAACATCGTCTGGCATCAGATCATTCTCCCACACAGCTCTGGGATCAGCTGGTCATGTTATTGTCAGAACCGTCATGGTGACTGATCAGAATGTGTTTGTGATTTATAACAATATGATGTAACAGACGTCGTATGAGTGGACGTTCAGAATGTGTTAATACTCCATCCCAAGCTCACACTGTCACAGTCATGACATACGTTACAAACAGTTTTCCACGACGTAGACCGTAGTTACTCAAAGTGCGGCCCGCGGGCCAATGGCGGCCCTCAGAAACATTCTGTGTGGCCCCCGAACGTGACATGAAATCTATGCATTATATTTTAATCATCCACAGTCCGTCTCAATACTGTCAACAGCTCACATTTAAGACACTACTCAGCAACAAGCTTCAACCTCCAGGGCTGAAAAATAAAGTGCCAAAAACTGCAGTTCCTCTAATGTCCACTTGAGGCTGACTCCAAGAGCGAGTCAATCCCCGTCATGTTAAAACTTTGCCAACTAAGCTAGAAGCTAACGTTAGGATTATCTCCATCCTCTCATCCAAACATGGTCACTTCTGACTCCAAAAACAACCGGGTCTCACTCCGAAATCATCGAAAAAATGGCGCTTGGTTGGTGACTTCCAGCTTCAGACACAGACGAAAGAAGCTGTTCTTTCATGCCGGCATGATATGCAGCGACGTTAGGGGGAAACCAGCGGTACAACAACTAAAGTTAAGGTGGCAGATGTCCGGGCGGGGCGGGCAGGAGGGGTGGTGGATGGTTCCAGCAACCACCAACTTTTACGCGGGAGGCCGGTGTTCACTTCCTGTAAGATTGTAAAGCCAAACCATTTTATTTTTTCCCTAACCCAACCACGTACATGTGTTGGCTATACTTAATCACGTGTGTTTGTTGCTGAAGGGAAAAAATGCCAATTTACGGTGTTGTACCGATGCAGTGCTTTTATTTTGAAAGAGACTGTATAGAAACTGTACATTTCCTGTGAAAACAGAAGTGTATTTTGAAAACAGACAATGCATGTAACAAGCTGGAGTTGACACGGTGTCCCAGAACGTCAACAACCAACACACCCAGGGTACCTTGGACGTCATATGTGCACGTGGAAAGTCCATGACCAAACGTGGACATGTGACGAGGTCACAGTGAGGATGTGTTGCCAAAAAAAACAAGATGGCGACAGTCAATATGCCAAACTAGAGGCTTGAGTCCACGAACCAATGAGTGACATCACTGTGGCTACGTCTGTTACTCTATACAGTCTATGTTTGGCAACTGCGTCAAACTGCACCCCTCTAACAAGCTTCTGTCAGGTTAGGCAACCACTGGCACCTCACGAGTGTCATAGGAATTACGTTCTGTCACAGTGCTGCTCTGAAGTCAGCCATCTTGGTGGTAAATTCAGCAGTTTAATGTGAGAGTGAGATATGTGCATTTATCCTTCAGTCACGTGCTGGCTCCATAAATTGGCACTTGTCATCAAAACTTAAAGCACCCCTGACACAGACAGTGTTAAATAATAAAATATTGGATTATATAACTGGGTGAAGAGGTGTTATGTTGCTAAACCAGATTCCAAAACAACAAAGTAAAAATCAGCGGGTTTGTTATCGTTTTCAACAATATTTGGTCCACTTTAAAAGGTCCAGTGTGTTGGATTTAGTGACATTATTAGTGAGGTAGCAGAACTGAAACTGTGTAAAGTGCTGTAAAGTTTAGTTCAAATCAAACTTTGTTTATATAGTTGATTCAAAACACACATTAAACACACATTAAACACACATTAAACACACATTAAACATGGCTTAATAGAGACAGTTTCAAACACAAGTACACAAATCAGCTTCACTATAACTCGCAGCATTCACAGACAAACACTTGTCTTTATCTGGACACATTTTCCCCACAAATACAACATGCTAACGTTATTAGCACAAGCCTATGGCATTTTACATTGTATAAATTAGCCTAGCAGCTAGTGATCTTTTCCTCTTCTCATACAAATACAGCGACAACAGCAACAGCACATAATTTGGCTCCATTACAGCTCACAACATTCACTGACAAAACAACTGTCTGATACTAAACACGTTTTCCAAACAAATACAACATGCTAACGTTATTAGCACAAGCCTATTGCATTTTACATTGTATACATTAGCCTAGCGACGAGCAGGCTAATGAAACACCTCCATTTTCACAGGTAACTTAGCCTGTCCCCCCGCCACAGGAAATAATGGATTAATCCTGGAAAGCTGTTGATGTAGCACTTTTCTCCTTATGAAAGTAACACTGCGATTATTCGACCAATGAGAATTTGGTCGGACGAGAGCATAACGACCAAATAATCGACTCGTCGACCAGGGGACTACAGCCCTAGTATGTAGATTTAAACGTCTCATTCTGAGGTAACAAAAACACGACTGGTCTTATTTTCAGCTGATTATACACTAATGAAAACATACTTCTTATATCATATTCAATTTCTGCCAACAGATGCCCCTAACCCCACACACTGGACCTTACAATAGAGATATTTTTTTACTTTCAAATGATCAAACGCAGACAGTGGTGGAGGGAGTACTTTTGCTTGCATAAAAGAACTAATACTACAGTGTACAAACACTCAGTAGTAAAAGTAAAAGTCCTGCATTGAAAATGTTCCTTCAGTAAAACTGTGTAAATATGATCAGTAAAATGTAGCTAAGTCTTAAAAGTACCAAACTGACTCTTATATTATTATATCTGATCTCATTAGATGACTCTGACTCATGCATTTATGTAAAAGCAGGTTTTAAGTGTTGGAGTTGTTTGAGGTGGAGTTCAGTTTGAACTATTAACTACTGATTATTTTCATTATGGATTAATCTGCTGATTATTTTCTCCATCAATCGATATCTTCATTTCTTTGTTAAGAAATAGGAGAACATTGAAACCAACAAAGTGAAAATCAGCAGGTTGTTAAGAGAAAATAAATAATGTTCATAACCTGTACAGATAAGTTAAACATCCGAGCTCTTAAAAAACACGGAGCTAATTTACTGCTGCGACATCAGCGACGCTAGTTGAGCTGGTCGTGACTGAGTTGAGGTCAGTCGGTAACTTTGCTCCAGTGATGCTCTTTTTTTTTTATCTGACATCTGCTCATGTTATCAAGCCGTATGACTAAAGGGTTGCAAAAAACTGGGAGGATTCAAGGGGGGAGCTTTTCATGGGAAGAAGATTTAAAGTCCAACAGGCTCAGTTGAACAGGTCTGTTCTATTCCTGTTGAATCAGAGTTTAGGTTCAAAGTAGTCTCAGTGTACCTGAGTCCAACACTGAACGTAACATTAATAATTAAATTACTCACACTGCATTCACTTTTCATAATGTCTGATATGATGTGTAATGTGTACAACAGTGACACATTTCAGAAAATATTCTGATAAAGTAAAATCAAATTAAATAAAAATTAACAGAAATTAATTAGACATTATGGGAATTTACAGGAATAAAATGGAAATGACTGAATCTATTGCTCAGGCTATTTCCTATGTCATATGTAAATGGAAACAAACATAATTTTGCTTTCAGGCCTTCATCATCCTCTCCATGGTCTTCCTCCATGTCAGATTTTATGTGTATTTCCCAACACATAAGTTCAATATTGCACAGAAGGGTTTTTATATTGAAATTGTGGAAATATATCTATTTTGTCACAAAAAATATTGTTTATTTATTTATTTATTTATTATAATCCTTCTTTTTTTTCACCTCATGAAATTATTTATTTATTTTACAAAAAGCTCAACTTCCCTCAGATAATGTCAGAAAATGTACTGAAAATTAACCAGAAATTCACAGAATTTTCAAATATCATTTTAATATTCACTGACCGCATTAAAAATGTGAACGAGTGTTTCCAACCTTGATGATATATTGGAGGCTGTGTGAACCAATCAGGGCCAAGACTTTGACTTTCATAGAAACCAGAAGGAAACAAAACAGGAAATGGAACAAACCAAAAAATGCTGCTCATCTTCGGGTTCTGCATTAACTGATTTTACAGGAACCACCATCCTGTGGCGTCCTACTTTAATTTGACTGACTGGTTCTAGATCCATCCCAGTTTAGTCCCAGTAACCCCAACACTTCCAGTAATAAAGATAAGAGCCACTCACCTATCGTCAGCAGTCCCATCAAACTTTTCCAATGGCCTTTACTGATTTCTACTGGTCTCTTCTGGTCTATCCTGGCCTGGTCTGATCCACTCTACAGAGTCTGACTGGCTTACTGGTCCGATACTGGTTTGGCTTCTGGTTCTGGTCCAGTCTGAGGTGCCAGGTTCTTGTGTCTCTGGTTGGGTTCTGATTGGTTGGCTCTCTGGTGGACTGTTGTAATCCTGTGTGTAGTGACAGTAGTGTCAGAGTGAGTAGTTTCTGCAGCAGATGAAGTAGTTTCCTCAGATGTTGTAGTTTCCTCTCGTAGGATGAACAGAGTCCGCAGTAGTTTTACAGTAAACGGTGAGGTCGTTACTGAAGTCTAACTGTAGGTAATGTGTAGTAATCCTGCAGCAGAGTGAGAGGTCTCAGAGTTTCAGATTGTATTCTGGGAGCTGCCCTGCCCATCCTGTAGAAAGGGAGGAAAAGAGGGAGGAAGAGCGAGAGGAAGATGGGGAGGAGGCGGGTGGGAGGTAAAGGAGAAGGGGAGGCCAGGATGTGAAGGAGAGGGAGGAAGGGGAGAAAAAGAAAAAAAAAACATGTCAGAAGAGGAGTGGAGGGAGTACAGAGACGACGGAGAGAGCTGTCTTGCAGTTTAAAGCAGAATTGGGTCAGACACAGTTGCATTTTGTGGAGGCCATTTCAGGTTCAGTCAGTTACACAATATGAAGCTGTTAGCATGGCAACAAGGCCAACAGAAGAGACACACTCCACGTTTCTAACTGGTAGTATTATGTAAAGTTTTAAATATTGATCCATCTCTCTCTTTCTATTCTCAGAGGAGTCCAAAAAATATAAAACTGATGGTGGGGCTCAGAGCAGAAGATTAGGATTTACTGTGAGCTTCAGGTAGCAGTTGTGGACTGAATCACTGTCATGTCCAAAATCAGAGACACAAAAATATTAAACTGATGATAACGTGGATTTTGTGTTTGGCTTTAGAGGAATCTAATCCTGACAGGTGGTGACACTAATGAACCAACTGACTTTGGAGTTTTAGGCCCTGGAAGTATATGGATATATTTTAAATTTATATTTTCCCCTACATATGAAAAAAACATCTGTCTACTCGGCCTTTGTTTTACAAAAGATCTCTGTCCACACTAGAGTAACTCCAAACGCTCTCCGAACCAGTGGTTGGCGATCAAAGCTACGTCATCGGTATGTCAAATACTGGATGCAAAAATGTCATTTGTGGTGGACGCTGAGGTGATACAGTGACATAATGGCCCTAGATTTCAAGCCCTAAATTATTATTATTATCTATTGCAATTTTCCCTGAATCAAACCACAGATTTTCTGGACTATTTCTGTTTAATATCTTTTGACTTTGGTTTTTCAGGCACCAAATAAATCCAAGTTCACATGAACACTTTTACAAGTTTCTGCCAGCAGCTGTGAGGAATCTTTAGTCACTGATGAGTTTACTGGGAGCCAGCTAGTAGCTCTGGTGTCGCAGAACTAGTAGCCTGTCACTGTTCAGGTGTTAGCCTAGCATGCTAGTAGAATGCTAACAGTGGAAGGCAACCAGTAGCATTTGTAGTTGTCATTGTGGACAGCCATTAGCTACTGTACTGGCAGCCTGTTAGTAGGCTCCTGACTAATATTAGCTGTATATTAGCTGTTAGCCTTTGGTAGCCCATTATCAGAGTATTAACAGCTAACAGCTAGCTGTCCTTGTTGACTTTCTGTCATGTTGGCATTGTTAGATATTAGCAGCCTGTTAGTAGACTCCTGACTAATACTCAGTTAATCTCATATTAGCAACTTAGCCATAGTTGTTAGCCTTTGGTAGCCCATATCACACAAATAACAGCTAACATCAGCCTAACTAGTTGTCTTCGTTGACGTTCTGTCATGTTAGGGCCCGTGTCCTAGAGTATGGATAACCAACCCGAGGCGTACAGGTTGGGCCGGGTTTGGACAACAAATCAGAAGTTTTGCTCAGGTTCGGCCCACTTGACATGCTGCTGTGTTGTGCTGTGGCCTACTGAAGTGTTGGAATTTGTTATTTACGTGACAACGCCTGAATGCAACACAGGCCAATAGTTACATTTCAGGCAGGTGCGTGTGGCATGTCTGACTGTGTGTAACAGTAGCCTTTTGATGGTCATTTACACACTAACTATGTCAGGTAACAAACTGCGCCAGGCTTGGGTCAGGTTCAGACTTAGAAATCAGAAAGTCTGTCGGGGTCGGGTCGGGCTTGGTTTTAACTGTCTCGGACTCGGGTCGGGTTCGGTCAGGAAAATGTGGCCCGAGATGTGCTCTAGTGTATCCACAAAGCATTTTTTCTTAGCGCAAGTTTTGTTTTTCAGTTGCTCTCAATAAGGAGCGAGCATATGTGGCTGCGTGCGGCTGCTTAAAGAAAAAGCGCTGCTCCTAGCATCTTTTTTTTTCAGTGACACCAGTGACGTCACTTCCACTTCTTTAGCTAGGTCACAAGTGTTGACAGACATTGGATGCTGTTGTTGAGTGTTGTGCGTCTATCACCATTCACTTTGTACACTTGTTATTAACTGTGTTGTCAACCCTCTGTTAATGTAGCATGATGTTAGCTACCTGGCTAATGTTAGCGTCAAGATATTGTTGTCATGGAAACAAAAACTATGCTATCCTGCTATGTGGATGCAGGCACTTAAAACGGTTAGCTTTCAGCAGCCTGTTAATAGACTCCTGAGTAATAGTCAGTTAGTTTCATATTACTTAGCCACAGCCTTTGTAGCCCATCATCACGAAAATAACAGCTATCATGATTCCAGCTAACTGTCCTTGTTGACTTCCTGTCATGTTAGCGCTCAGCCTGTCAACAGACAGCTTTTTGCTAACTGGTTGTCAGATAGCAGCATAAGGTTGGCAGCCTGCGAGGAACCAGCAGTTGACCTTTGGTAGCCTATTAGCAGAGGGCTGCTAGCTTCCTGTTTAGTCAGCCAGTAGCCAGCTGGTAGCCAGCTAATTGCTAACAGCATGCTAGCCAGCTGGTGTGTGTTTGTGTGTCTGAGGACACCAGGGTGTTTCCATGGCAACGCAGACAGCAGGAGGACATGTTGGAAACAAGAGAACAATTTTAAAAAAACTTGACAAAGATTAGAAGTTCTTCCTGTGACTCACACTTCCTGTTTCCTGTCTGGGTTGCCAAGAAACGGATGTTTGGCAGGAAAAAGCCCAGAAGCTGGACGACACTGATAAAACACACACACACACACACACACACAATAGTACTTCATGCTTCTACTCCACGTATGTCTCAACGTAATTATAGTACTTTTACTCCACTACAAAAATCTGGCAGCTTCAGTTACTGTTCAGATCAAGATTTTACAAACAAAAATATTTGATAACTTCATAAAACAGGACACAGCTTCACAGATTAAACTCTCCAAAAGTAAATAAAGTGGTTAAAATGTGCTCCACCTCCACCAAGTGTTACATAATACTAAAATATAATACAAACACTCTGAAAGGGGTCTTTTACTTTGATACTTCAAGTGCATTTAAGCGTTAATACTTTTGTATCTTTACTTACAGTTGGAACAATGACCCCTATCTTTTACATAAGTAAAAGTAGTGATACAACAGTGTAGAAATGCTCTGTTTCACATAAAAGTTGTGCATTCAAATCTTTACTTAAAGGTCCACTGAGTCAGATTCAGGAGGATTTAGTGGCACTGAACGGTGAGGACTGCGGATTATAACCAGCTGAAACTTCTCCTGGTTAGAATTCCAAACAGATCAGCTGATTTAGGCCTCGTTTACACGGATACGGATACAAATAAAAACGGATTTTTATTTATCCCATATATAAAAAAAAATCTGGGTTTACACGATCAGTTGTGAAAATGATATCTATGTTTACACAAAAATGCAAAAACAGCAGTTTTTTGCTGCAATTAGCATGCCAGGCCAGTAGGTGGCGATACGCCATATGTCAAACACCATAGAAGAACGTTCTGCACATGCACAGTGCTTTGTTTCCCTCTTGGCGCTAGTGATAAAAACAGGTCTGATCTAAAACCGTCGTTTCTAGAGGACCATATACCGCGGACGCTGTGGACCAAGTAATATTGGGCACAGCAGGCGTCTTTGTGCGCCGATGTAGCGCTGATGTTGATGCAGCAGTGCTAAGTTAATTTGTAAGCTCGTAAAGCAAGAAGTATACTTGCTGTATGGCCAAACGTAGGCGTACACGGTGTGCTGCACCTGTGTGTATACTTGCTGCAGCACGGACGTTCGTCGATGCAGCCAAAACGCCTGATACTGGTGGTCTCCGCTAGGGGCAGACCGCAGCACTCAGACACAGAAGAAGGCGGTGACAGTGTATTTCCAGATAAACACAAACATGGACACTCTCAATGAAGAGGAGATCATAATTTTTATTGCTGTTAAGATCTCGGCAGAAGAAAAGGTGTTGTCTCCGCCGCCATCGGAGATGGCATGTGCGGCCCCTTAACCAATCACATTGTGATGACCTCCGACCTCACTTCTTCTTCTTCTTTGGAGTTTTACGGCAGTTGGCATCCGTTACGTTGCATTACCGACATCTTCTGGGTCTACCTTGCTCCTACATCTTTCATTCCATTATATCCTTTTCACCAGTCCACCTCCGACTTCACGTTCACAGTGTCTAGGTATACTTCGCACGAGCGCCGCTTTTGTTCATGTCAATATTGCATCTCACATACACGTCACGCTACCTCGCAGTGTGCGGTCTACACGCCAAACAACCGCAAAATACGCATGGCAGCCAAACGTGCACGAAAAGTGCCCGCGCACGTGTTTCATGCAACAAGTATAGCCTTAAGTAGTCCCAAAAGTGCTAACAAACCTAAACAACCCAGCATATATCCGCTATTGTTGTCGTGGTTCCCGGGAGCCTAATGGGCATGTGCGAACTGGGTTGCAACGTCATCGTTTTCCAAAATCTCTGTCCATCCTGTTTACATGTCTACGGAACCATGTATTCCTTTTCTAGAGTTAGTGTTTGGTTTGTCCGTTCTGGGCTACTGTAGAAACATGGTGGTGCACCATGCCAATCTCTGTAAATGAGGACTCGTTCCTTATGTAGATATAAACGTCTCATTCTGAGGTAACAAAAACACAATGACTCTTATTTTCAGGTGATTAAAGAAAACATACTTATTATACTATGTTCCATTTCGGCCACTATATCATAGTACATAATAATTAGTATGAACATATATTTAAATTACCAAAGGGAAAAGTGCTCATTATCTAGAATAATGTATATTATTGGGTTATAATTATTGATGCATTAATGTGTTCATCTCTTTAATGTTGCAGCTGGTGAAGGTGGAGCTCATTTTAATGACTTTAAATAATGCTGGGTAGATTCATCTCAATAATACATGATCATCTAATTATATTTTCTATTATAGTCAGAATCTGCAA